GAACTCAACATACTAATCACGGACTTCACCTAAATATGAAAGGAAAAAGATGGATAGCAAATCACTTAGTGAGAGTAATTAAAGATTTGTTCCTACATTACAGAGCACCCGTACTTACAGCGTTACCTTGGAGGAATGATAGTTTTAATAGTTTCCAGATTCTTACACAAAATAAGGTCAGCATGAATGATATTTCCTCAGTCACCAATAATGTGGACTATGAGAATCAGCTAGTGGAAATTAGTGATAATCGTGTGCATGATACCACACTGGTATCCACAATTGACTGTTTTAATCCGGGGATAACTGCTTTCCGTTACGAGCATGGAAACAATGTAACAAGTGATGACTCTTTATGCGAGACAGTTTTTGATTGTGTGGAGAATGCTTCGAAGGGAAGAGTCGAATTACAAAAGGTGGATTATGAAAAACAAATAGGTCAAATCTATGGCACTCAAGAGAACTGAACAACTCATAAATCAACCAGACTAAAAAACTTCCATCCTCTAGAAACTGATTTTTTATGGTAAATGTAAATTACAACAGTGTAAACCCGAATGATGTAAATACTGATGGGGTAGATAAAATTACTGACAACTTAAGTAAGTTAACGGAAACAATATGTAACAATAGTTACAGTAATAATGTGCCACATATTAAGAGTAGTGATACTAAATCTCAAAATAATCCATTTCATCATGTAAAAGGAATAGTACCTCTAACTGTTTATCATCAAAACATAACGAGGACTGAGAGGGAAAGCAGACGAGCTCCTAAGCCAATTATACTTAAATTTTCCTCATTTACTATGTTTTACAGAACACCATATGAACCACTTAGAGCTAAAACAAACTTCAATTAATAATTACAGTTTAGGGGCTGATTATTGTAGATCATTATTTGCAAAAGGAGGTGTTTGCATATTTGTTCAAGAAAAGTTCAAGTTTACTAATATTGATCTTACTAAATATTGTCAGGATAGAGATATTGAAATCTGTGCCATCATGATTCATCTGAATGCAAGAAAAATATGCATAATTACTATATATAGATCACCATCAGGAAATTTTGATATTTTTATGAATAAATTAGATTTAATTCTTAATAAATTATTTAAGGTCACAGTGGATTTCGTTATCTGTGGTGACTTCAATATAAACGTCCTAGTTGATAGTGAGAGGAAAAGACAACTTGTAGCTCTGCTACAAACCTACAATTTAACAAGTGTGGTAAAATTCCCTACTCGTGTGCAACATGGATCAGTTACATCTATTGATAACTTCTTCATTGACATTACTAAGGCAGGTAATTATTCTATTAAACCTATAATAAATGGATTATCTGACCATGATGCTCAGGTTGTAATATTTCATTCTTTTAATTTTAGACCATCTATTAAGAAAAGTATAATGATGAGAAAAATTACTGATCTTGCAGTAAATGACTTTCTTCTGAAATTAAGCCATGAGGCTTGGGACACTGTTTTTTCTACTGATAATGTTAACGGTATGTTCAACTCATTTTTAGACACATACTTGAAAATTTTTTATTGTAGCTTTCCTCTTAAGAGTGTTTGTGCTAATAATAAGAATAATAAAAATTGGATTACCCTAGGAATTACAACTTCCTGTAAACGGAAAAGAGAACTCTACATAGCATGTAGAGATGGTAATAATCCGGATCTTAAAAACTATTATAACAAATATTGTAAAATTTTATCAGCTGTTATTAAAGAATCAAAAAAGCTAAACTACACTTATAAAATCAATAAATCCCTGAATAAGAATAAAACTATGTGGGATATAATTAAATTTGAAACAAATAGAACTAGCAGTGCTGATAAGGCTATAACTTTAAATATTGATGGGATCTCAATCACCAACCAACATGTGATAGCCAATGAATTTAATAAATATTTTCTATCCATAGCTAAAAATATTAATATTAAGTTGACAATCTAAATACATACCTAAAAAATTAACATTATCATAATTTTCATACTTGCACCTCAGAGCAATGTCAGAGCAGCATGAAGCAAAAGTGATATACAATTTAATATAATCTGAATGTAAAATGCAAGAAAGAATTGTATATATAATTTCAATACCTTCGTTTAAGACACTTGTCTGAATAAATATTTGGCATCTATAAGAGCAGTGACCTTCACTTGTCTACTCACAGAAGATTCTCTCAGTAGGTTAGAACTGCATATGTCTTGAGTTGAGAAGTACGGAGCATAGATCTGTATTGGATCATTATACCTTACTCACTTACTTACTTACTTACTCATGGAGCTGAGCCCTTCTTGAGGAGCTGCCAATTCTGCAGCTACTCAAGAATTTCCCAGCATTTTATGGAACCCAAAGTTCATCACCGTGTTCAAAAGAGCCCTCCACTGGTCCCTATCCTGAGCCAGATCTATCCAATCCATACCATCCCATCCTATCTCTCTTAAGATCCATTCTAATATTGTCCACCCACCTTCGCCTTGGTCTTCCCTGTGGTCTCTTTCCTTCTGGCTTTCCCACCAATATCCCATATGGATTCGTCTCCCCCATTCGTGCTACATGACCTGCCCACTTCATCCTCCTTGACTCGATCATTCTAATTATACTTGGAGAAGAGTACAAGTTATGAAGCTCCTCATTATGCAGTTTTCTCCAACCTCCTGTCACTTCATCTCTCTTCGGTCCAAATATTCTCCTCAACACCCTGTTCTCAAACACCCTCAGTCTATGTTCGGACCGTTATATCTACATGTTTAAAACTGGCTTGAAATTAATTGGAATTAAGTCCGTCTTCATCTTTGTTGCATCAGTCACACAGAAGCAGCTTCCACATAGCCAGGAACCCAGACTGTAACATGTGAAAACATTTGAATACATCATCATCTTAAACTAGAATTTCATGATATTCCAAGTGAAATATTTCCCGACAAGCCAATAAAACAGATACCAGCACTTCTTTTCCTCATGGATTAATAATTTTAATGAATGTATTGATCACAAACTGTTCTCTCCACAATTTGTTATGTCTTTCACCTGCTTAATCCTATAAGATTTTTATTTCTTGCATATTTTGACCACTACGTATTCACTCTCAACTCAACCACAAATTATTTAATTCTAAAAGTGTACCCCTGAACAATAACTTGCATTAAGAAATTTCTAATACATGGCATTATAATAATATATATGTATGCACATTTACAGGTGGCTCAGTGCGACCTGAGCTCTGGGCTATGTGACAGTGCTACAGAACTGCCTGCTAGTACCAAACCCATAGTTATTGTGCACCACAACATCACGGCTCACATCTTGCTAATTGCACTGTACAGATTAACTTCACATCTACTTGTAATCACATCTGCCTGTAATTAAAATGTTAATAAATACCATTAATTTTATTTCAAATGAAAACAACATGAAACAGGTGTACAAAATTGTAAGAGAGAAGAACGATGGAAGTTATTTATTATTTTACATTGAAAAGCTGGGAGTTGTCACCCATGGTTGGTGAGCTACAGCAAGGGTATACTCATCAAAAATGGATTGTGTTGTACACTGTCTTATATATTGCTTTGTACATTTTTAAGAGTTGTTGACATGTAGTGTTTTGCTGTTTTCAAATGACTTTGTCCAATTATGCCTTTGTAACAGTTATGGATGATAATTAAATTATCAAATTATCAATATTATTAATTCCAAATTCTTTATTTATTGAATTCCCCGCATTCAAACTTTTGTCATGTTGGAAGTAAAGGTACACCTAACTTATACCTTTAGGTTTTGTTCACAACAGAATTTATTATTATTTTGTTTTATAACTAGTTAATGTTAAATGTTAATGTTGCTGTAACAACTTACAAAAGTGTGAAAGTCAGGTCAGGGAAAGAATGAACAGATTCTCACTGACATCTTCACAGCAGCTATGTTCCCTTCCTCATGCCTTCTCCTGCAGCCACAAATTATTGACTTTACTCTGGCTTACCTTACATATACAGGATCTCTTTACATCAACAGCCTGTTTTTGGAGTTGAGAGAAGGGAGATGTGCAGTGTAGTTTGGTGGGAAGTGTAGGTCTGATTTTAAACCCGACACACACATGATCATTCTTTCCCTTACCACAGGTGTAGTTTTGACTACTTTATTTGAATATCTTACAATTTATTTAAATATATGACATGCATTAGTATAATTAAACACATCAAAAGACAAGAAAACGAAATGTGAGTGATAAAATATTAGACTATAGGTACCATCTTAAAGAACCATATTTCTAATAAGTCTTCTCAATTTTCATTAAAAAAAGTTAATTTCATATCACAGTTTCTGTGTTATTATTAGGCACTGAAGCTTTTATACTTCTGTGTTCAATGTTCATAAATTTACGTTACATTCATGAATATAAAACAACATGTCTCTTTGTATTCATTTCCTGGCTTCTCCACAGTGTAGTACTGATTCTGAAAAATTTCTTATATCACAGAGAACATGTAGCTTTGAAAACTGAGAAACAGGTTTAACTACAAGTGGGCAGTAACCTGCTGATAGATCTGGAAGAATCTACAGAGATTTGAATGGTTACATATATGCTAACAAAATTTAAACAGCAAAAACAGCCCATTTCTTTATTGTCAAATGTTACTTTCAACAAACAAAGATATTTCTTCATATAGCTGGAATGTAATATTTCATCTGTAAGAACAATAATGTTCATTTTACATAATTACCAAGTATGTACACCATCGTGACTGTTCATTTATATTTCATATCCTTCCAAAATATATAAAATATATCTTAGCATATACATCCACTGGATGTTTGCAGTCTGTTTACATAGGTTATTAGGGGCTAAGATATGTGTACCTTATTTTTAGGTACATAATTCTATAAAATCACATATTTTTACCTAGAATTTGTATCAGTTTATTCTGTTGCAAATTATACAATAAAACTTCTGCAATATTTAATCTAGAGCTGCAAGCTGCATTGAAATGGCATACAGCTGCTTTAAAACTGGCCAAAACCATAACACTGTAAATATGTTAACGCCAACACATGTATGTAAATTATTACTTAATGTTATTAATTAATACAGTTAATAGATGAACTACAAATCGTGATAAAAATATATTTGAACGACTAGAATACATATTATGATGTGAAAAAACATTTTCACTGCCAAAGATCAGGCATATTTTGCATTTAACTCGGGCAGAAACAATTTGTCAGTGCATATAACACTAATTTTAAACAGAAATATATTATCTCATTTTATGTTCCACTTCTTATCGTCCATGTGCAAATTCGGTTAATATTCACTCATTTTCTTCTCTGGCTTTTATATCACTACATGTTTTGGCCTAACTGGTCATCATCATGTGTACAAGTTGTTGTGATGAAGGAAACTATCACTCTACTGTAATGTTGTTCAGCTTTTCTTATGCAATTGCCTTGGACAGTTCTAGGTATTATGGCTTATTGTGTTGTTGTCATGCATGTGTTTGGTTCATTCTGTTGGTTTGTTGATTTCTATTGAACCACTGAACCCATATAACATAGAACAGTCAAGGCAATTGCATAAGAAAAGCTGAACAGCATTACAACAGAGCAGCAGATTCCTTGATCACAACAGCCTGTACACCTGACAATGGATGGTTAGGAGAAAATGTGTAGTGACATACAATAATGAGAAGATGAGTGAATATTAACTGAAGTTGCACACAGATGGCAAGAAGTGGAACACAAAGTCAGATCTACATAGCACAAAAGGATGTTGCAATGTAATATTAGAGATTTATTGTTTTTGTTCACTGAAAGACAGACAGACATTTAAAAATATACATTCCACTACACTACACAGAGATTATTTATGATGCTTCCAGTATAGATAATATTTTTGGGGGGTAAAATCAGCACTTATTTTTCAAACACAGAATGAGAGGAATGAGACTTAATTTACTATTATTTGCAACTGTTTAAAATTCAGAGCTAATTCTTCTTCTTGAAGATGTAATTTTTGTATAGTAATGTCTGTTTCTTCTAACTATATGTGTNAGTTTTTTTTTTTTTTTTTTTTTTAGAAAAATATTACAGAACAATTCTCAGTTTGAGTTGAGGCATTGCATGTTATGATATGTTGAGGGACTGCTTCAGTGAAATCATATAACATGTGCTTTCATCAATTTTATATTTTGATTGGTTTATTGTTGTGCTTTTTCATACTATCTGATGGTGGCAATTCAAAGAATTTCATACACATAAGAAAGTTATTATATCTGCAACTCATTTTAAGTTAATGAATGTAGGAACTAGGGAAAACTCACTTCAGACATATAATCTATGCAGTACTGAATTACTGTGTAAAATCTGTGACATATATTCCTCACCACTGTGGAACAGAGTTATCTTTCTGCATGTGGAAAATCTCATGCATTCACATTTCACTTGCATAACAGCCTTGTGAGATACAAGGTTCTTGCATCAAAATATTGCTTGAAGTTATAATTTCATGCAATATATAGACATAATTTGGTGCCTCCTTCTTTGACCAAAGCCTGTTAGGTTTATAAAACCTACAAGGTGAAACAGAGGTAGAGTTGCCCTGTATTTAATTAAGCACTTAACCTTGAAGACAGATTTGGGAGCAGAGCACTATACAAACCTCAGCACTAGGAAGGGGGGAATGGTTAGCTTCATGACCCAGTTGCTTTACTCCCAGCGACATAGTCCCTGATACCCTTCAGAGAGGACTGGATGATGAACCCAAGAGGCATTTTGGATTCTTCTGAGAAGAGAACATTTCTTCCCCTACCCAGGAACTGAACCATGATTCCTGTCATCCAACCTGTTGCCTGTTACTGAACTGACTGAGTTTTTCCAGCTATATAATAAAATTTAGAAAGGAGACTTCAAAGAATTAACAAACAGAAACTTTCTAGTTTTCGGGGTTACAAGATTCGTTCATGAAGTCACAGAATTATTTCTTAAATAAAGTTCAATATTTTGATTCCATAAGTGAATAATTAATTAATTCGTTTAGTGGGGGGTGGAGTCCAACTGGGTCCACTCGGAATGGCGGCCACTGATTGGCCTATTGTAGCCTGCCTGGGGTGATAAGATGGAGAATTTAGTGGAATGAAGATTGGCAGGGGAAACCGAAGAACTCGGAGAAAACCCACCCCAGCAACACTTTGTCCACCACAAATTCCACTTGATCAGACCCAGGATCGAACCCGGGCTGCCACAGTGCGAAGCCAGTGACTAATCGCTTGAGCTATGACGCAGCCTCCATAAGTGAATACATTAAACCTATTAAACACAACCCTTCACATAATTTGGTGTAAAAATAAGAGACAAGCATTTAGTGTACACTTCTCTACCAGGGTGGCTAACTTCAAAACTGTTCTTCTAAAATTATGTTAAAATTTATGTCTTCTTGTTTGTGACATAAAGCTTAAAGAACTGTAATCATATTCTTGCATGATTCTTTAAAATTGTTCTTGTAATTATAATGCTAATGATATAAAGTACCTAAACACTCTTTCAAAATAATACATTTATTTCATTTCTCTTCTGAGTTATTAAAAAAAAAGTAAAGGTAGCCCTGTAACAGGCCATGGAGGCCCATAGGGTTGTGAGATGTTGAGGTTCCCATATTTTCTTGACAATCGGCTCATAGATGGTGGCAAGGTTGTCAGCCTTATGAGTCACTCGCCCTTTTCCCCCCAAGAATATTCCAAGAATATTCCTGGTACTCATTTCTGTTAGAGGCTGAGTTGACCCCAGGGCCATAGTGGGGCTGGAAGGATTAGGTCAATTGAAAAAATCCAATGAGCTCATCGGCACTTGAACCAGCAACCGTCCACCTTGTAGCATAGTGCCTCAACCAACTATGCTACTGCATGCCCCCTCTTGAGTTAGTGAATAGTGAATATAATTTTATTATAAATCTTGTAAAAAATTGTTGTTTCTAATAAAACGGTTTCAAATAGAATGAAATGACAGTTTGTGTCTTTACATGTTCTGGACTTTGCCACATTTATCAAATTACACGTTAGCACCAAAAGAGATGAATGGACACAAGCTATCAGATACATATTATTTAAATGCTTGCATGGAATAATATTCAAAATGTCTGTCTTAAAATTATAATCAGAAGACCTAAAAATCTAAATTTCATAATGACCAGAGGTCTCTTTGGATGTCAAAGCATTTGCTGAATTTGTCTGCCTTATATACTACATATGTATAAAAGTTCATACTATCACACACACTTGATTGACAAAGTTAAGTCAGTTAAAGTACACCAAACCTCCATTACTGATGCATAATATTCATGAACAGGTTCGGGTATTATTTCCTCCATTTGTATTTCAACATACTTCTTATAACACAGCAACTGTAACTATAAAGGCACTATCTGGTCATGCTGACACCAGTGTTTCACTTTCACTTCTTCTGTTTTGACGACTTTAACTCTGAAAGACACTTATAATATAGAAAGTCAGACATAAATATCTGACCAAAAAGTCTGTCATGAACATTCCCACTGAATTAATACATACACTTCTGTAATAGTTAATTGATGAACAATTTCTAAAAATTGCTGTCAACAGAAATTCTAAAACACTTCACTGTTTATCTTTTTTAATAAATCATTATTGTACATTGTTGCTTTATTCCAAAAGTATACTCTGGGTGTAGGTATTTCTCTTCTTAAAATTGCTCTTTATTCTTGAAAACTCCAGAAATAATTCCAGTCTGCATGTTATGTTACCCACAATTCCCTGTCAGTAAACACATTTTCTGTAAAATGTCTGTGACTTCTCTATAGCTTACTGAGAACAGTAGTGTTCCAGAAGTTACCAGAATTTCCTTTACAGTCATTACACTTTTTAGTCACGTGTTTATAAGTGTCATTTTATGCTTACTTTCCCAGCCATTCAGAGTCACAGACATGTAACTACATCACTATCATGATGTAATACTTTAAATTCAGTCATAGCTCCAGAGCTATACCCATATTCAATCTGAATTACTTATGGAAAAGAACAGAACCCACAAACCACTTAGCCTTCCTCACAGTATACTGTCACCTGCAGAGGTGACTATTAGATGGGGTTTTGATTGGATTTATTGCAATTACACACTCAACTCGAACTTACAAGTAATAGAGCACTACCGCTAATCTCCGAACTTTACAATTCACTTTTATACCCACTTCAGTCCTCAGTCTATTACAGTCTCCACTATCCATATCCTGGCAACGGATTTTAACATAGGAACTATAACAGTCTCACTGTTAAGTGCAGCACACATGAAGTCTTCTTTGCACAGCCTAATTCCTTTCTTGCTCTCTCTTCTCAATCGTCTTTGAACGCTGTCTCAAGAGGCGCCCTCAGTTCTAATTTTGCTGGTCTTGGATCCTTGTTATATATAGCCTAGGAGCAGACTCAACAGAAAACACCGTTTCCTAACAATTCCTCTATAGTTGTAGGGGTATGTTTACTTCGCTGTTGCAGAGAAACAGCAGTTCTTCTCTTGTTGCGTGCGTTCAATTCTGCAGAAACCTGTTTACAGAGTTGTTGTCTAGCAATGAACATCTACTCTGGCTTCACTTTTCTGGCTTTCAGGCATCATGTCACAATCTAAATAATATAAGAATACTTTCTTCTGGGTTGTGATGACATGTAGTTTAGTGAAATCCTGATCTTTAGAGGAACTCATCACATCCTTCCTCAGGATGAAAGAGTAAGCCAAGCGAGACACTAGCAGATACTGCTTGCTTACTCTTGATGACAAAGATTGTAATTTCTTGCAGGGTCCCAACCACTTCATCTTTGAATGACCGTTTCTGAGCAACGGCTAAGTAAACACGTTCCCACGAAAATGATATCAGAGCCTGAAGGCTTATAGTGAGGACCCCAAGCAGGTTGCATGTAGTTCAGTTGAATGAAGTGAAGTGTCATAGTTGGTTGGTGAGTGACAGAGTTCAGTTTTCAGTTGTCAGTTGAAAGTCAGCCTGTGAAGAGAATGCATTATGTGTGATATATGGAGTGTGTAATTTAGTGAGACTGTTAAAAGTTCCTGTGTTAAAATCCGTTGCCAGGAAACGGCTAGTGGAGACTGTAATAGACTGAGGATACTAGTGTGTGCAACAGTGAACTGTAAAGTGCCGAAACAGCGATAGTGTTATAATTATTTGTAGTACAACCTTAAAGCAGTCAATAAATCCATTCATCAATTCAAACCCCATCTACTGTCACACACACCTAAAACATGACAGTATGTGTGGAGCATTCCTTGACTGATGGGTGTATGACCATGCTGTTACACCCAGATGGCATCATGTCACATATTTAGTATTTCCTCATCACCAGTAACGCGACTTCCAAGAGCAACTGATGCCGATCCTGGATGGTGATGGTGATGATGATTGTGGTGATAATGATGTGAAGACTGATCTTCACTCCTGCTGTAACTATATTTATTTGATTCAGCAAAGCTCTCCAAATCAACATAACCTCCTCCATCTTTGCTAGCCTCTATCAGAGCTCCAATTTCATGCCTCAGAGCAGCAAAGTCTGGCCTCTTGTTGGGATCGGCATGCCAACACCTGGAGATGACTCTGAACAGTTCAGTACGGCAATGGCTAGGGCGTTCCAGTCGGTAACCATCCCTTACACGTCGCATTACTTCACGAGCACCCATGGTGGGATATGGCGTTGACCCTGAAAATCAACCATTCGCTTTGTTTCAAATTATTTTTTCTATATGTCAGAGCAAGGTGGTAAAAGAATGCTGGACTTATCCTCACATGACCAATATATAAACTTGAAAATAAAAGTTTATGACAGTGGTGGACAAATTTATTTATTTGGAAGTTAGTTAAATCCAGAAGGAAGAGTAAATTGTTAAATAAACAGAAAAATATAAAAGAGTTCCAATTATATAAAATTTTAACTGGCATATTACAGAACTGACCAATCCCCAAAAGGGAAATGTCAAACAATTTATATAAAGCATATTTAAATTGATCCTAATATAATTGCAGAACATGGGCACACACAAGCAGAAACAAACTTGAAATGCAATAAATGGATATGAGATTCTGGACAGTATAAAGTAAGGGCAAGTTTCCTCTATTTTGATTAAGCACAGTGACATGAAGATGGATGCCAGAGTGGAGATACAGCTTCACACTTTGACACTAGATGGAGATGAATAATTACTTTCATGCCTCAAGTGCTTCACCCCTCAGGAAAGCAGAATTTGTGGTGATGATTTTATAGGAGGCTGGGTGAGCCCCAGAGTTGCACTAGACAGTGTGGAATACAAAAAAAACATATATATATATATATATATCTGCTCCTGACAAGACTCAAACTCTGACTCCCCAGCCATCTGGTGAGCAGCTTACTCACTACATCGACCGAGTTATCCTGACTCTGATATTTGTGAAGTTTTGAGGGAAAAGTGAGATTCATTCAACATTCTTTATAATCATATTTTTTGCTCAGGGCACCAGTCCTGACCCTCGCTCTCCATATTTCTGTACAGAAGCCCACCAACTTCTGCAATCATTCCATTCCGAAAAGTCTTATGTAACCCAAATTTTGTGTAAGTCAAAATTATTACTGTAATATACACAGTATGTCCAGGTTCTGTTAGGACTGTGTTCATTAAAAATACAAGATGTGAATTATTTTCAAAATTTCAATCTTTTTATTCAAAATAGTCTCCTTCTGAATTAATACATAGCTGGAATCGACTGAAAAGTTTTCGAAAACAGTCACTGTACTCCTTTTGTGGAGTCAAATTTAAAACTGAGGTACATTCCCTTTGGATGTCCTGGATGGTGTCATGATGGTCTCCTTTCATCACCAACTTAACTTTTGGGAACAACCAGAAATCTGCTGGAGCCAAATCTGGCGAATATGGAGGATGATCAAGGACTGTGATCCATTTTCTGGCCAAAAAATCGCGCATGATCTTCGATTTGTGGGGTGGGGCATTGTCATGGAGGAGCGACCAGGAACCTTGCTCTCGATATTCAGGTCGAATTCAAAGAATTCTCGCCCTCGCATGCAAATGGCTGAGGACTCCGAGATAATAATCAGAATTCACTGTTTGACCTTCTGCCAGAAGTTCCTTCTGAATGATTCTTTTGGAATCAGAGAAAACGGTTAGCAGTGTCTTTACTTGACTCTTTTCCATGCGCACTTTCTTTGGTTTCGGCTTCTTTGGGCTCAACCATGCTGCACTCTGCCGCTTTGTGAGAGGCTCATGTTGAAAACACGATGTCTCGTCATCAGTAACAATCGATTTTGTAAACTTTGTATCACTTTGGGCCAGCCGACCATAACCTGTCTTTGCATTGTTCCACCCAGGCATGTTTTTCATTGCCTTATGGCGCGTGCAGTACAAACAGTGCAGACCTTCCGTTTGCTGAAATCCTCGGTCAAAATTTGATGCACAGTACTTTTTGGTATTCCCAAAAGCTCCTCAATGAGTCTTGCAGAAACACATTTGTCTGATGCAAGGATTCAGGTCACTTTTTTTTTCACATTTTTTTCAGTGCAACTTACTCTCGACTTTGATGGACGTGGAGCATCTTCAATGTCCTCCCTGACATCACGAAATACAGCATACCATCGAAAATGTTCAAGCGACTCAAACAACCACTACCATATACACTTTTCATCATTTCGTGTGCTCCTCCGGCTGTTTTGCCTAACTTCAAAAAAAATTTGATGTTGGCTCTCTGTTCAACCGTCATTTTCCGACCAGCGACAGAACAGTACTGTTACATTCAAGGTCAGAACACATGATGCAGCGAAGCTTGCACTTTGAAATTATAGACAGCCACAGCTGTCCAACAGATGGCATTGCAGACCAAAATTTAAAAAAATGAGTCCTAACGGATCCTGAACACACCGTGTATCTATGTACTTACATATATACATACACACACATATACACACATACAATTTTGCACATGTTCAAGATTTGCAGAAAAAATTAAAACATGAAAAAAATTAAAGCACTGGGGGGGGGTGTTATAACAATAGAAAACTATCATTCTAACAACAAAATTTAATTTACATTTTATTTTATTTTATTTTGTGCGTTAGGGAAAAATGTACATAAAGTCAAATTTGTGTATGTTAAGTACTGTGTAACTCAAGGAGTACCTGTTCCACTCATTCCATGCATGACTTTACTCTTCTGCCCTGTAGACAGAGGCAGCAGGTTCCTCTGAAATGCCAGTACATATCTCCCAGAACTCCAGAAAAGAATTACGTTCATATTCATAGACATGAGAACCTCAAACCTGACAAAAGTACAACAATTTTCAAGACTGCATTTTCTTACCAAGCGTGACGATCTCCCACATCAGTATCCCAAAACTCCACACATCAGATTTGTGAGTGAATACTCTGTAGTGTAATGATTCTGGTGCCATCCATCTAATAGGAAGAGCTCCCTAGTAACAGACACACATCTTAAATTGTCCAGCCAAGAGACAATAACAAGGGAAAGAGGTTAGAAAATTCTGCAAAGCCATTCAGGTTATATGAAAGTAGGCATACAGATGGACAAATTAAAATCCAGAAACCACATTTCTGGAATTAAGGATGTATAAAAAATGATACTACATTATTCTTATTCTGTCTATACATTATTTATATGCATAATGAAATGATTAATTAGATAAAATGACAGCTGTCTTTGAGCACAATGACACCACATTTCAGTTTCTTTGGGAAGCACTTAATTCAAGCACTGATCTCATGAAAATCTCACTGAATAACATAACAAGGAAAAAGCATAAAATGATAACCATTGGAGATAATCATGTAAGAAACTGTGCTACTGAACTACTGAAGGGCCTCAATATTTTACCAGTGGCTTTAAACTACAATGTTAACTTTGGTAATGTACTTTTCTGTATTTGTTCTACATGTTTTTCCAATCTTTCTGACACTCACGCATGCCTTTCAGTGAGTCACTGTTAAAAATTTAAGAAGCTCTGATTTACAGATAGAGTTGTTCCTCTGCTCACTTAATTAAGATGACACCATGAAAACATATGTGCAGTTTCTCTCATTCTTAACTTTAGCACTCAATGGAAATGATTGGTTAGCTTCATGTTCTGATTGCCTTGTCCATAGGGAAAGAGACCTTGGTTCCATTTGTTATGAGACTGGATTGGCCCCAGAGCCAGTCTGAACACTGTTGAGAAGAGAAACATCTCCTGCACCTGGCAGGACTTGAATCCTGATTCCTCAGCTCTCTAGACCATGGTCTATCACTATACCAACTGAGCTATCCAGGCTCCTGATTTAATAAATCTTAAGAGCATATTCTTATGTATCTATTAGAAACATATTTAATGCTGTAAATGCACTGTGCTCTTGTCCAGTGCTTTTAAAATTATCCAGTATCCAATGAAAGTGATATACCAAAAAAACTGAAGTAGATAGTCACATGTGAACAGCAAAGTAATGAAGACAATGCATTTTAAAAGGTTTCCACTGATTGATGACTACAATTTTCATATAGAACTATGAGAAAAGAATTAGACAGGACACTTCTGGGCAACAAACTCTTCATGTAGAATTTTAATAATTTAAAATTATTGTAAAATTCTGTGATTTGAATATACAGAAGCATGGGGGAAAAACTTAATTATCATATCTTTAGACATAAAAATTCATGTAGCTACAGCGAAACAAACCTTAAAATTGTAAAGTAATAGGCATCTTTAAATTTTCAGACAATCCAAGCTACAAGTACAATACAATGCTTCTTTTGGGAGGTTAAATTTAATGCCAGATTGTGATTGTATAATATGCAGAGATTTTATGATGGTTTATGCAAAGAATATGTAGATATCATACACAATACTATTATTCAAACATATTTGTAACCATATGCTAAGAAGCACATAAAATTAATGGAATTTCAAAGGAAGTTCAGTAAAGTTTCACAGCATTATCTCTCTGTGTCTGTGAAGCTCCCAGTACTCACCTTGGTGTGTCGCTGTTCATACATGTCGCCCATCTCTCTCACACTCCTGGACATGCCAAAATCTGCAATCTTGCACATCTTGTTGTGGTCTACCAAGACATTCCTTGCTGCCAGGTCTCGATGGATGATCTACACAGTCATATTTTGATCAGCACCTTCTTAGCTAAGCTGCAATGCCTGCCTTTGACAGGAACCTTAGCTCTCTCTCCTACACATTTTCCAGCCATGTTACCCTACTCATTTCTGCTCCTATAGCATTGAATTCAATTATACACATCCTTAGTACTGACTTCTCATAAACAAAATACTTTATCAGCAAATGAATCACAACAACTAATAATCAGCTTGTAAATCTTGGATTGTGGAGTTACCATAACTAATTCTAATCTCAGTTAACCAAATTACTTTTCAGTGGCTTTTCTTCTATATTACTGGTTATTTCAGAAGTAGTGATATTAAAGTCTTTCTACATTGCACCTCCATTTCTTATAATATTTATAAGTTTCATTAAAGTTAGTATATTTTTTTTTATTGCTAGTGGGGTGGGACTGTGGAGTTACCATAACTAATTCTAATCTCAGTTAACCAAATTACTTTTCAGTGGCTTTTCTTCTATATTACTGGTTATTTCAGAAGTAGTGATATTAAAGTCTTTCTACATTGCACCTCCATTTCTTATAATATTTATAAGTTTCATTAAAGTTAGTATATTTTTTTTTATTGCTAGTGGGGTGGGACTAAGTCCCTTGTACTGCGGCCACTTCTGCCCCATTGTACCAGCCCCAGATGATAGGTGAGGGTGATTGTGGAGCAATTGGTGGAATGAAGATTGGCAGGGGAAACCGAAGTACTCAGAGAAAACCTGCCCTGGCGTCACTTTGTCCACCACAAATCCCACTTGACCAGACATGGGATCGAACCTGGGCCACCGCGGTGGGAAGCCAGTGACTAACCGCTTGAGCTATGTTAATAAAAGTATATACTACATAATATTGATGGGTTTTTTTGTGACTAATTTTGTATTTTCTTACAAATTTAATCTCTGCTGTCAATCCTTATCTTTTATCTGTTATGACCTGCCAGAATACTGACCTTTCCTACTGGGACACCTGTATATAAACCTTAATATTTGTACAAATATAAATCACTCCATCCAATGTGACCTGTAAGTTTATTACTACGCAAAAAACTTAACACCCTTACATGTTTCGGTCTCTGTGGACCATCTTCAGAGGGCAAACATCACTACAAATAGAAAACCACCTTCACATAAGTTGTTTAGACGTAAAGTACATACACTTATATGTGAACAGGGAAAACAGCACAGCAGCCACGAGCAAACCCTGGACGATATAAAGAACCTCCACATCAAGATAGACAGGTGGCACAATATCTGCCTCATACAAGAGGGACGATGGGAGGACAAACACGAGCCTGCATGGTTTATGAATGTCAATTATTGACAATGCAAAACTTTTTAATTAGCATCATGAAATTTTAAATAATTTTTAAAAACTTTACATTCCCAGGAAACTGCTGTGTTTGTGAAATATTCTATTTTGTGTACTATGCATTGTAGCATATAAGTGTACATACTTTACATCCAAACAACTTATGTGAAGGTGGTTTCCTATTTGTAGTGATGTTTGCCCTCTGAAAATGGTCTGCAGAGACTGAAACATGCAAGGGTGTTAAGTTTTTCACGTAGTAATAAACTTACAGGTCACATTGGACGGAGTGATTTATATTTGTAATTGTTAGTGTGACGGACCAGAATGAAACAAATCAAACTTAATGTTTGTGTTCATAGCCCAAAGTGTAACATAACTTCCATGTTGAGGATGCCACAGTAAATGTTTGCCAGCTTACATTGTGTCACATCCAGAGAAGACAATAATGAAATCTCCGCTCAGATTTCTCATTTTTAACTGAAACTCATCATCACATTCCCCATGTCTAAACAAACTGGATGCCTCAAACAAGCTATATGTAACCTCCATTTCTCAGACTTCAAATTTTCTTACCCCTTTGGAGGCAAGATATTCCATCCCTCTTGACACACAGTAGGCGAATACTGTGAGGTCTCGTGAGGTCAGTGCATCAGAGTCTTCAGAGAAGTTGTAGTAATGTTGTCTGGTGCGGCGGTCACGAAGAAATGCCAGCAGTTTGCCATACATCACATACTCCATGATCAGCAAGTAAGGTTCTGTAGGACAATACAATTAACGGGTTCTTAGGAATTTACATTTTGTTTAAGTAATTAGTTCTTCTGCTTTCTGTTCAGGAGGTCTGAGAGGTTCAACTATTGCATGAAGGACAGACTATGCTGATTAAGGCATTGTGGTTTCTCTTGGTTCCTTTAGGCAAATATTTGTCCTTAACAGAATCTTTCCATTTTCTTCTTATTTCATCACTCTATTTGACCCTGTACAACTTAAGCAGGTGACAGAACTAACATCGCTACAGCAAAGCCTGAAATTCAACACTGCTAATAATAAATTTTGTTGTTTTTCCTAGGAGATGAACTTCCATATGAACTGGATTCCTGTGCAAGAAATCAATTAAATTTAACTTGTACACAAAAAAATTTCAATCAGCTAATAAAATTATATGAATACTTAAGACTGCAGGAAGGAAGGGATGAGGTATTAAATACCAACAGTGTGGGTAATCAGAGGGGTGTAAGGCTAAAAATAAAAGTGTCAGGGAGGTTTGGCTTGTAGTACTTCATTGATTGGCATGAACCATAACGTGAGGCCCTTCTTGTAACTAAATGACAACTTTACACCTTTTAAGCCCAGAACCAAATGACATACAGGTCACAATGCACATATCCTTAATGGGGTAGACGTTTAGATTAGAGATGTCAGAAATGAAGTAGATATATTTATATGTCTGACATCAGTAGTTTTAATGTAAGCTCCAGTGTGAGACCTCAGAATTCAAAAGGTATCAGTGTCACGTGACTGCAGTTGTAGTTATTTCTGGTTTGAAGGGTAAAATTCTTACCCTTCTCAGTGCAGCAACCCAGGAGAGTTACAACATTGGTGTGGGAGCCTAGCTGTTGCATGATCTCCAGCTCACGAAGTAGATCTTCCTTTTCCTGGGAAGATGCCCCCTCCTTTACGGTCTTCACAGCCACTAGGCGAGTTGTTCCCTCATGGCCACTTATGTCATCTGCCTCTGCTTTGAGAACCTACAGAGGGGTATGGAACAGAAAATCAGAATTAGGCCATAACAAAACGACATGAATGGAATACAGTCAGTAGAACGAAGATTGCAGTAGGCTAGACCACATTAAGAATAGAGCTATTAAGAAAGAACTGAAAATACAGTCAGTATGAAATAAAATTGATGTACATGGACAAGACTGGATAAAGCATTCGGATAGAGAGACTGATGAAAGAATTGTGCAGCATAAATCAAAAAGGATTCTGAGACGTGGGGAAAGCTGGAATGAACATTTGCAAAAGGTTTGGTTTCTTGTACCAGGAAATAAAGAAGAGTGAGGGAGAGGAGGAGGAGTGAGAGAAAAGCAGAAAGGAGGAACACACAGAGGAGGAAAAAGGAGGAGAAGATGGAGGAGTGGGAGGAGAAATTGGAACATCTGTTCTCAGCACCTGTGATGAACTAAGCACTGCACTGACGACACTGTCAAACCCTGACATCATGGGGGGTTAGGACAGTGATAATTTCATGGAGGGTCACACTTTCTGTGCTATCCTCTGCAGGTGGAGGGATCATAATGGTGTTACACCACACATAGAGCCTTGCAAAGTATCTCAAAATTAAAAAAAAAAAATGTAAAGCTTTCCTTGCAACGGGCCGTGAAGGCCCCTAGGGTTGTGAGACATCGAGGCTCCCATATTTTCTAGATAATCGGCTCACAGATGGCGGTGAGGTTGTCAGCCTTACGAGCCGGCAGCACTTTACACCCCAAGAAGATTCCTGGTACTCATTTCTGCTAGAGGCTGAGTCGACACCAGGGCCATATTGAGACTGGAAGGATTAGGTATACTGAAAAAAAATTGACCTATCGGCACTCGAACCCGCGACCTTCCGGCTTATAGCGTAGTGCCTCAACCAACTACGCTACCGTGTGTCGAATGTTAATTAATCATCCCGTTATTCGACGCTCTGCAAACGGATCTCCTGAAAGCATCCTACAAGACCCAAGAAAAAATAAAGTGAATAAGTTTCCCAGCTGTTTAATTCACCGACTAACCGTCAGGATTGTTCTCGGATAGGGACTGGTCGCTACTCAGCTTCTTTTCGTGGTTTTCCTCATTCTCTTCAGAAGAATTCCGAGACAATTTCAAGTAGGTCACAACTGCGTCCTTTCGAACGAAATCATTCTCAACTTCAGATAGTAACCCTGTAACTGACCTATGAATCAAACGTTCTACATCCCCTCGTTCTGTGGTCTATCGGTTTTACTAACAGAAAAGAAAGAGACAGAAGGTAACACGAGAGAGGAAAATAATACAGAGAAAAGTACTGGGTTCGACGGAGGGGGTGCATTTAATTAACTTGACGGCTTGGAGAAGAGGCAGGAGGAAGGAAGAGGTATGGAGGCAAATCCCGGTCTTCCTTCTAGAAAGAATAGCATGAAGTTCTATTTATCTATGGCTCTACATCCCTTGTGGACCTTGGCCGCTTTTTCAGTTTCTTAATCTATACACAGTCGGTAGGATCCCTTGGACGGGGGATCAGTCCGTCGCAAGGCCGCTACCTGCACGCAGAGCAACACAAACACAGAATAAACGCACACAGACATCCATACTTCGAGTGGGATTGAACCCACGACTCCAGGGTTCGAGCGGGCGAAGAGGGTTCATGCCTTAGACAGCACGGCCACTGTGATCGGCAACATAAAGTTCAGTGTTACACAGACACTCGCCTAACATTTCCACGGAAACACGTGACACTTCTCGGTCAATAATCATGCGGTTAAGGATGAATATGGAAACTCTGCCTGTTTCCACCGAAAATTAAACGAAACAGTGATACCCTCTGTCGGCGAAATGATGAATTATGTGTTGAAGGTTAAATTGTCACAGTTCTTTTGAGTCAACCCGGTCAACTCTTAATTGTTTTTAAATTGAAGTAAATAAAGAATTCCTTCGTTTTAAAAAATGTCTTCTCTAATTTGTAAACTAATAAATATTCTCTTTGATATATGACGAAATATGACATCGTTTAGACCGTATCATGCTGAGTGGAAAATGAAAAGCGTGAAACTAATAACTTCAAGTAATCCTTGAGGCTGAAAGTGATTCAACATAAAGAATCTGCTTTTCTTTTGCGGTCAAATAACCATCTTACAGACCATATGCTACTGTTACTAGCTTTGTTTCCTTTTGTCATCACATGAAGCTGCACTGTTGCAGAAGTTTATGTATTCAACATGGGGAACTGAAACTTGATTCAAAGGGGATATCGGATGAAGCGAAGTGGATTGTTCTGACATGTTATCGCGGAATTCTCCTGTTGTGACAAGAGGACGGCAATGATTAAAAACTCAAGAAACCTGAATCCCTCCTGTTGTAACTAGTATCACATACCTAAAAAATTCTGTGGCGTATCTTGTTTCGTGCTGTCACACTTCAAATTCGCAACGAAATTAGTTATATGGTACACAATGTTTAATAATTCTGTGCAGATGTTTCCACTATTCACTTCTTGCAGATGTTTCCACTATTCACTTATTGAAGAAATTTCGAGTGCGTAGCATAAAATAAGGAAATTGTCACAACTCGAGAAGATAAATTCCGGATATCGAGAGGGGAATTTGTCGGCGTCAAAAATTTTCGATCGGCCAGGTAATCGCATTTTTTTGGCTCCTGTATTACAATACGAGACATGACTCAGTTAAACACTGGTAAACTATTTATTCACTCACCTGTCCAAAGTTCCCTTGACCCAAAACGGTCTGCAATCGGAGTTTCGAGCGAGGAAACTCCCATCTAGTAGTCGATACAGGAATAAGAGTCGAAGTCGACTTCTCCTGATCCCAACTCTGGCCGTGAAAAGAAAAAAGAAAACTGCTGACTTCTGGTTGTAAACATGATCGAAATAACCACCACAATCGTGATGAAGGAGGCGTGAAATTCCGCGCCTTTATTCCAAAACTGCGAAAGGCTCAATCCCACACAGCAGAGTCCTTCTTGAGACGATGACTGTCGTTCAGCTGGTCACATAATTCCTCTACTTTTATGGAATCTGAAGGTTCATTACCATGTTCACACGAATCAGCCACTAGTCCACAGCATGGGCCAGATGAATCCAGTCGACACAAACGTTATTTCATTAAGATCATTTAAATGGGCCGCGCCATAGCTCAAGCGGTCAGTCGCTGGCTTCCTGGGTCTGGTCAAGTGGGATTTGTGGTGGACAAAGTGGCGCTGGGGCAGGTTTTCTCCGAGTACTTCGGTTTCCCCTGCCAATTTTCATTCTACCAATTGCTCCACAATCACCCTCACCTATCATCTGGGGCTGGTACAATAGGCCTGAAGTGGCCGCAGTACAAGGGACTTAGTCTCACTCCACTAGCAATAAAAAAAAAGATCATTTAAATACATCTTTCCATCTGCGCCCGAGTTTTCCAAGTGATATATTCCCTTTCGATTTCCCCACGAAAATTCCTTACGCATTTCTAATCTACATGCATGTTACATGTCCAGCCAATTTTATCCTCGGATTTGTTCACCCCAACAATTTTGGTGAAAAATAGAATTCATGCAGACTCTCACTAGGTAATATATAGTGTAACGTTGTCTCTGTGATTAATTAACTAAGCACTACGCCATGAAGACGTATGGGGAGTGGATGATTAGGTCCATGTATTCTTGACGTCAGCCTTACTTGGACCGCACTACGTACTAATTACAATTTTTTAATTCGTGTTGCTCAGAGTACATAGCCATAATTAGAAATTCATTAATCACGTACAACTTACAAGTTAAGTACCAGTTACGTATTAAAAGAGAAAAGTCAAGGCATTCTAATCAAATGAATTAAATGCGCTCGTACTTAAGTCTTAAGGCGATGATGCTTCGGGGAATTTTCGAAATAAAATAATGTTGGCAGTGCCCCCGAGCTTCTATACTTGTATATGTAAATTTCAGCATTTAGAAATTAATGTTATTACTACGTAACACACTGTTCTATCTTTCACCTCTTCTAGAACATATAATACAATTCCTAAATGAATGTATGCTATCTTAAGGGATATATGACCGTGTAGTCCAAATGAAGTACACTGACGTTTCCGGAGGAAAGAAACGTCGGTTGACATCTGATTACACGGTGTTACATGCCGGGGTTTAGTATACTTCATAGTGAGGTCCTAAATTCCTGCAATATATACAGAATTTTCTCTTCAACTTACCAGATGAGTGTGAACTCTGGGTAGTTTAGTACCGGAAACAGGAGAGCCTACATCACTTCCGGTTTGTCCTCCTCCATTTCGGGCACCTCTGCGACTACTGACGTCGGAATAGGCGTCCGTGTCATCCAACAACTATAACGATTAATGTGACAGCATAGTAACTTGTCCTCATTACGAGACACTAACATAAATTCTGTTGAAATTTCAACGTGAAAATCCTAAAAGAGTTTTCAACATCACTGTTAAATCTGGAATATAAAATATGCTCACTCACTCACTCATGGAGCTGAGCCCTTCTTGAGAAACCTCCAGTTGTGCAGCTACTCAAGAACTTCCCAACATTTTATGGAACCCGAAGGTTCATTACCGTGTTCACAAGAGCCTTCCACTGGTCCCTATCCTGAGCCAGATCAATCAAATCCATACCATCTCATCCCATCTCTCTAAGATCCATTTTCATATTGTCCACCCACCTACGCCTTCCTTCTAGCTTTTCCCACAAATATTCTATATGAATTCCTCTTCTCCCCCATTCGTGCTACATGCACTGCCCACATCATCCTCCTTGTCTTGATCATTCTAATTATACTTGGAGAAGAATAAAAGTTATGAAGCGACATAAAATATACCGATAAAATAATTTCTGGGCACATGCAACAAACTTTCTTGCGTGTAAAAACCAACCTCGTAAAAATCCATGAGCTAAATAACTTGAAAGGCCCTACATACATTCTTACAAACATACTACCGAACTGATAGCATAGCAATATGCATTAAGCGGTGATCCTATCTAGAGGTATGACACGAACTCAGGCAGCAAGCGTTAGCCTTTTAAGTTTCTTCCTTTTTCGGCCGTCAGAGCCGGTAGGTATTCTGGGCAAAGAATTGATTCGTACCGCCAAACTTGTCATCTGTCAGTAGAGAGTTTCTTTCAGCCATGAGGTTAAAATAAAGCGCAACAGAACCGGTAAACATACTTTTAGAAAGAAAGGCGACGACCTTGTGTACAGAATGTCCCATGAGGAGAGGTCAATATTCTGGGAGGTCACATTATCGGTCATTCTAAGCAAAAGGTTATATGTGTCCATGTGTCCTATTCCGAATGGTTTCCGAGATAGAGCCATTTCACTGTACAGTACACAGTACACTGTACAGACGAACAACACGCCATGTTCTCACACAAGTTGCACCGAGATAGAGCTATTTCACTGTACAGTACACAGTACACTGTACAGACGAGCAACACGCCATGTCCTCACACGAGTTGCACAGACTGATGAGAGGGATTTATGAAGCACGCCGTTGAGATGGACTCAGGTGGCATGATATACATACCAAGTTTCATAAAGATTGGTTGAGCCATTCAAAAGTTAATAGGGGAGGGGGATGAATTGAGAGACAGACAGCATGGTGATCGCATAAGCCTATTTTATTTTTTCAAAATAGGGAAAGGAAGATAATTGAGAGGAGATGGGCATATCCTGCTCTATATAAATTTAGTGGCACTTACTTTTCTCCTCCTCCGAAGGCAGTATCTTGCCGCAAAGGCGATTCCAATGGTTAAGGGCACGACGCCTAACGCCGAGATGACGTAGACAGCGACGCTGACGCCCTGCGTCGTCGCCACACTCTCCCCAGGGCGCGGACTTCCCGTTGTCGTATTGTTCCCGGACAAGACTTTCCCTACACCCAAGGACAGGTTCACCCCACCACTTGGCACAGAAGCAGAGCTCTCCGTAACATTTGCTTCTGTATCGGCCCACGTTCCTTCCTCTCCGTCTTTACCCGCGGCGTCTTTTCTACTTTCATCTTCAGAAATGTCGCCGGTAGCATTAACACTTTCTGTCGCTTTTGTTACCTCGTCAACCACACCGATTTCTCGAGTAGTGGCCTCCGTAATGTTAACCTCTGGCTCTGCTCTGTGTGTTACACTTCCGTTTCCTGTTGGTGGATACTCAGTGGCGGATTTACTTGACTCGCCTGGAGATTTCGTAACTCCTCTCGGGGGAGCAGACCACACAGTTGATGCATTGTACAGTTTTAATAACGGGAAATCAAATTCTGAATCCGGTGCTGGGGAATTTGTTGTAACTGTGCTTGGTGCAGAAAGGGTAGGCCGTGGGGCCACGTCTACAGTTTTCGTTTGGTTTTCTGGCGAAGTATGCGTCGTGGGCGTATCAGTACGGTTCCTATAATTACGTCCTACAGGTTTGGACGTACGGGTAGGTGACCGTGCAGGGTTACTACTATTTCCCTTAAGAGTCTCATCTGGGCTTCCTGCTGTCTCCGTTGCCGATCCGTTTGTTTTTTTCATAATTTTTACAGTGCCTCTTCCTGCAAATATTGTAGGTTCACTGGATTGATCAATATCGATTTTGTTGCCCGAAATTGTCGTACTGTTGTCACTTTGTCCATTTTCAGTTACAATATGTGAGGTCTCTGTGATATTTGAGGTTATGTCTTTCATAGCAGCTGTAAACTTATGGTTTTTTGAGATATCATCCCCTTCTTTGTGAATACTGGTGGGAGTAGAGTTACCATCGGATGACTTATTTGAGAAAACATCCCCCTCTTTGTGTATATCGGTAGGGGTGGAGTTACCACCAGAAGATGTGTCTGTTGTCGCAATATTTCTCGGAAACTCGCGTGAAAGTGACCCATCGGCAGATCCATTTATGTGACGTATTTTAGGTGTGGCAGATCCGTTAACATGTAACTGGGTTCCGTTTGTGTCGTACCGTCCAGGCGGTTCTAATACATGTTCCTGACGTTCGTTCTTCGTATCCCGTGACGTATAAGTTTGTGGTGGACTCAGGGTCTGTTCTAAAGGAGGAGTTTCAGTAACCATTATTGGCCAGGCTCCCTTAATTGATACAGAAGTGACAACGGCAGTAGATAATATTTTTGTTGTTGGTGATTGCACGGATGTTGTGACGGATGGTAATTCTGTTGGGACAGTTATATTTGTCTGACTAGATTGTGGGGATGTGCTTGTAATTAATTTAGTAGTTACACTTTCTATCGATAATTCTGACGTAATATTCCTACCAGGTTTATTCACCGTGTCTTCAAATAAACTTGCATTCGATTTGGTTAGTGGCTTTCTCTCAGTATACCGTTCCTTTGGATTTGCAATTAACTTCTCTTCATCACTGATTACTTCAGAAATGTTAAATTTGCTTTCAACGCCTGAAGTGTTACCATGTACAAACTCCTTCCTTTCAGTGTGGCTGTTAGGTGAAGCCCATTTTATTTGTAAAGGAATCGACGATGTTAATGCGGGAGACTTTTCGTTTGAATTATTTGTAAGAGAAGTATTTGTTAAATTTACTTCTTTCTCAGAAGAAGTTTTATTCTCACTGTAAACGGAAATGTTGTTTGATTTTGATGTGCTTTCTGGAGGTTTTGATGATTTTGATACGGCACTTGTGTGTCTGTAAAGATGTTGGTAACTGTGAAGTGGTCTCCTGTTGGGAAGAATTAACGATGTGATATTCCTTGTAGCTGGGAACGGCCGTCCTCTCGCAAACGGAGTCGATACAGTAGCTTCAATACGTGAACTCGATGCCGAGAGCTGTGTCGGTATGGCAGATTGGCTCGTAGGGGAAGCAGGATTGGAAATCTCAGAAATTTGTGTCGTTACATTATAATATTTATGATGTGATGATAAATAAGTTGTAACCTTAGACTCATCATTTACGGAAGCGTCAGGCCGATTTGTTGTAGAATGAATGCCCGAATCTGACATCCTCTGAGTTCCCTTTGGAATAGGCAGAGCTTCAGTAGAACTGACCGTTGAAGGATGATGAAGGGATTCCATTTTCTTTCTAATGTTTTTATCAGATTCGGAATTATTCCGTGTGACTTGCTCGGCTATGAATGCGCTGTTCTCTGTTGACGATGGAGAAGCGATGAAAACAGTCGCTGGATTAGCTGCGATATTTTGAGTCGAGGTTTCTTGTTTCCGATAAAGTCCACCCAAATTTCTGAGAGATTGCGGTGAATTTCCCCTATTTCTTGATACCTTATTCTTCTCGACTACAGACTTCATTACGGAAACATCCATATCCTCATGGATTTCTTCTTCCCTTGCAATGTGTACTGCAGGTGTGTTCGCCGACAAGACTTTCTGTGGTGTAGTGCTTAACTGATTGTAGTGTCCAACTGGTGGTGTCCGTGGAGACGTACTCACAGCCTCGATAGAGTTCGTGCTGCGTGTGGAAGATGAACTAGAGACTGGTGATGTAGTTTTTACACTCACAGGAACTAATTTCTTACCGAAGTTTAAAAATGGCAAACGGTGATCTTCAGGCACATCTTCATCCAGAGGGTGGAAATGGTTGTACAGTGACTCAGACATTGTGAGAGCCGACGCGACGGGTAACGGAGACGCCTGTGTCTCATGGCGGATCACAGTTGGTGGTCGTCGCTTCCTGAGAGATGACGAATCATTCTGAGACTCAGAAACTGCTGATGTTACATTTGTCTTCAGTGGCTGTGCTGATGGCTCCTTGTGTTCAACTCTAGTCGTCACAGTACTGACAACTTTATCTGCAATCGTCTCCTTCTTTACGTCTGTCTCGTTTTCTCGTATCTCTCGTCTCTCAAAGATGTTATTGTTCTCATTAACAGTTCTATTTTCATGATTGAAGTCCTCGTTGTCCGAGGATGTAGTCAAACCTGCTACAGATACAGTGGCCTGTGTTCTATCTGGCACTCTATGTGCTGATTCCTCAGCTTCAAGGCTCTCTTTACCCTTATCAGCGGACTTCAAGCGCTGATACCGCCGTCTGACACCCGCAATTGATTTCTGGGACTCAGTCCTTCGCACTTCATCGCGCAGAAGCGAGCGGCGTCTGCTATGCAGTCGCGTCAAGTTGTTTTCCTCATCGCCCTGAGCTCCCCCATCTTCTCTGGCGAATCGTTTTGTAATCTTTGGTTTCTTTAGTAAATCTGTCGAGTCTCTTTGCGTTCCGAATGAATCAGTATATCGAGTTGATCCACGTAGAAGCGTCGAAATCCTCGGCGTTTCACCTGAAAATGAGACACAGAACACTCAATTAGTATCGAAGCGAGTAGTTTCGGGATTGTTACGAAGCACTCCAAGCAGCAACGTCGATGTACGTATATGTTCACACGGGCTGTCTCACGCGGCTGGAAACGTCGTGTGCAGATCTAATTTTACAGAGTCGTGACAACCATCAGACACGAAACCTAAAGCATTACAGAAAAAAAAACTCCATGGCCTGTAGTCCGCAAGTGAACTATACCGACCGAGCGACCGCCGCTTGTCGGCGAAGTCAGTGCCACTAGCGGATAGAGGGTGTCGCGTGGTCAGCACAACGGATCCCCACGGCCGTTAATCTCGGTTTTCTAGACCGGAGCCGCTATTTCTTTGAAATAGCTCCTCAATTATCCTCACAAGGCTGGGTGGACTCCGTTCCGGACCCACTACTTCTCAGAAAAAATCTGGCAGCGCCGGGAATCGAATCCGGACCTCTGGATCTGTAGCGGGGAACTTTGACCACTAGACCACAGAGGCGGTCGCAGATAGATTAAAATCTGTTTTAACTGCCTACGCTTAGAAAATCTTACTTCTAGTTATAAAATATGAAAACGAATTTTTTCACTGAATAGAATGTTCTGGGTAACCCTGAGTGAAGTCACAGGAATGGAAAATTATAAACCAGGGTTCAGCTCCCATAAACAGCGGAAGTCAGGATGGAAAAGGCGTACAAAAATTCCATAAGTACGGAGTCCACGAAGCGTAACGTTGCGTCATTACAGACGGCCTTTGCATGGGATGTGTTTCCATTGAACGATGCTCGGTAACAGGAAGCGGAGATCTGCTACAACAGTCAGTTGTTATTAAATAAAAGTTCGGATGCTCATTGTGGTGAATTAGCACCGCTGTTTCAATTATATATACTTCTGCACTTGACAAAAAAAAAAGTTTCATAACAAACAAATGCTCATCATCATCACCATCAACGTCGATCAAGGATTAGGTTCAAAAAAGTTACGAGTTCAAAATTTGTTCAGTTTCTCTCTCTGACTTCTAATTATTTACAAAATAAACAAATATTAATCATTTTGAAGATTGATTTATTTACGTTTGTTACTTAGGGAAAATATGGAGTCCATGATAGGACAATTAAGTGAGAACTGGCAGGAGAAACGGAACTTTGGGTAAAACTCACCCAAGTTTCACTCTGTCCACCATAAATCCCATATGTTCAGAGCTGGGATCGAACCCAGGCCGCCGGCTACTAACCGCCTGAGCTTCCATAGCTCAAGCGGTTAGTCGCTGGCTTCCCGCCGCGGCGGCC